CAGCCTAATCTCCATGGGGTTTATCGAGCTATGACCTTTCCGAAGCAGATTGCCTGGTCTGGATTCTGATGTGTCTCTGGGTAAATTTGAACCAGTCTGTCAGCTAGTAGTGCTTAACCCTACGTGTCCACAAAGAAGCCTTCTCTTTATTGCTTCACTCGATCCATTCAAGAATGCCCGGGGTAGAGGCTGCCATCAGACTCACTGCACAACCAAGAAAGCTTCCAAGGGTTACGTGTTTCATCCAGACTTGTTTCACATAGGGCTTGAGAAATGGAGGAAACAAAGGGAAGGACGACATAAAATGGAGGCATGCCAGGGATAAAGAACCCCCTCATCTCAAGGGAACTCAGCACCCCAGTGTCCAAGTCCACCGATTCTGCTCTAGAAGAGCAAGAAGCTGCAAAGAAGAAAACAGTAGGCGTGATGTCAAGGGGCTATAAGCATGGGGTGGGAACTGTAAATGTGTACTAATGAAAATAGAATGAGGCATGAGTGTCACAGCCAATAATAAATGGCAGCAATGATGCGACAGCCAATAAATCATCCCTGAGCATAAAGAATTCTGCTTCTTGCAGGTGTGTGATGGCCACTTGCAGGGATCAAAGACCCCAAGGTCAAGAAGAAGGTATTGGTTTGTAAAGCCACCAAACTCATGCATTGTGTGGAGTTGGTAGGTGCTTTCAAGTGGGTTTGGAATTATGGCGACCCCATGTGACAAAGAAGACTATCCAATAGGGTTTTCCTAAGACCTTTATGAAAAAATATCACGAAGCCTTTCTCCCAAAGAATCTCTGGTGGGCTTGAAACACTATTCTTTCAGTTAGAGATCGAGCACTTAATCCATGTGCCACCAGGGTTCATTACCAAATCCACTAGTTCTTTTGAAATAATTCCAGTTCTGAGTTTCTGGGCCTGCGGGCTCAAGATCATGGTCTCGGGGTACACTAAGGTCCATTGGCATAACACAGTTCACCAAGGCAATATTGTACATCCTACTTTTGTGAGTAGGGACTGTAGTCTTAAATCCTTATAAGCAACCATGGTCTGTTTTGCAAATCTTCACTAGATTAATAACAAAAGAAAAATAATAAGATAAAAGAGGACAAATGGTGTATGATCTCAAAATATCTAGAATATGCAAATGTATAGAGTTCAAAATTTATTAGAGATAGGGAGGGTGGCAAGGAAGACATAATTCTTTGGGGAAATTAAATTTCTGTAAAGGTGGTAGAAAAACCGGAGAATGGTTAATGGTAATGGCTGAACAACAGGATGCACATATTTAATGTCACTGAACTACATATGAAGATTGTTGAAAGTATAAATGTATTGTTATCTATATATTTAGCATATATACATACAAAAGGAAAAAAGTTAAACAATAATCCCATTATCTCATGGTATGTAGCACTTCAAAGTCACATATCACTTTCCTGAGTATCCAGATAAACAAAGTTTTCCAAATTCACCTCATCATACAACCACCTGGGACATTCATAAAACATCAATTCCCAGGTCTCCCTTGGACGTTCAGATTCATCAGGCTTAAAATTGGAGACCCTGGAGATCTGTGTTTAAACAATTCAGATGATTCCTCTAATCAGGCTATTTTAGAAAATAAAACTGTTTTGTGTTCCTGGGTTTTAGAAGTTTTTGTCTTAGATTGTGTTGTCTAAAGAAGCAAACAAGTAAATATCCACACACAGAGAATGAGAGAGATTATATTAAGGAAGTGGCTCACACAGTTGCAGAGGTTGTCGAATTCCAAGTCCATGGGTCAGATGACAGGCTGGAAGCTTCTATTGGCTCACAAAGCTACAGGGGCTGGTGAACTCAAGTTTGGTTCATCAGCTAGCGGACTCCTGACTGCAGGGGTGAGTTAATCCAAGGTTGGCAGGTCAAATAATAGGCTACTGGCAACTGCCAGATCAGCAGGCTATAGAGAAGGTCTTTGACTTAAGCCCAAAAAACCAGAAGTCAGATGATTAGCAAGATGCAGAATCCAGACTCAGCAAAAAACAAAGGAAGCTTTTTCACAGTGCCTACTGATATTGGAAGCAGGCCACACTTCTAAGGAAATTTCCTTTCAATTGATCGTGTATAAGCCAAGTTTTTCAGCACATTTTTATACACTTTTGTGGTAAAATTAGGTGCCTCAGCTGAGATTCTGGTCAGTTTATATACTTATATGAGTATATATACTTATATATATACACTCAAGTATATACAGTGCATTGTGTTAGATCTCATCATGGGGGATTATGTACAATGTCTTAATTGTCATTGAGAATACTGGCCCAACCAAGTTAACACAAAACTTTCACCATCTTAGCCTTTAATAGGTTGTGGTCTTACTACTTTTCTATCATTTATTTTAGTGGAAAATATTTACATTTTCCTTCTCTGATAGATTTCCTTAAAAGGATTTTGACTCTCAAGGTTTTTACTGTATAATTCTCATAACAATCTTGCAAGTTGCTATGTATACCCATTTTATAGATAAAATATTATGGCTCAAAGAAATGAATGGGCATGCTCAAGGTCACACAATAATGCATGACAGATGAGACATCTAAGAGTTCATTTGTGCCTCTCCAGAGTATGCACATTTGTAGCAATTACATAATCTCCTGTCAACTTGATTGAGCAAAGGGATAGAGTCTTAGCCTGTCAATCAGGTCAGAGAAGGATGACCTCATTTGGAGGCACAATGGAGATAAATAGCTCACTGGAGGCCAGACCCACTCGCTCTGCTTCCTCTTCCTGCTGACAAGACACATGGAGCCAAGCTGATGTCAGCCAGAACTCAGAGAGCTAAAAGAGAGACATGGAGACCTGCTCAAGTGTTGAGATGCTGCCACTGGATCCACAAGACCTTCTATCTACTGGCCTGCAATCTTCCTGCATTTGGTATCATTGCATGTGCTGCATGAGTCTAAAGAGGGATTTATGGACTCGTATTGGACATAGGGGCTAATATCGGACTTATGGACTTGATCTGGACTGGGCTGGGATGTATTCTCAATATATAATTGCTCTTTTCTATAAAGCTCTTTCTTATACACATATGAATGTCTATGAATTTGTTTCTCTAGTCAACCCAGAAAAACACGTTTCATTGCATTTAAACCCCAAAATAGAGCCAGAACTAGAACTAGTTTTAAAAAGCTAGTCCTTGATATATTAGTATCGTGTTAGACATCAGGAATTGAAGTATGTACCCATATCTGCTGATGATTCATAGTAACCCTATAGGATTGAGCCAATTCTGATTCATAGTAACCCTATAGAATAAAGTAGAATGGTCTGATGGAGATTTTAAGACTAAAAAACGTCATGGAAGCTGACTGCCTCATCCTTCTTCTACATAGTGGTTGATGCCTTCAAGCCACCAACCCTTCAGCGAGTAGTTGAGCACTTTAACTACTGTGCCATGCAGCCTCCTGCACTATCCAGTCCTATAAGAAAGACCCAGGAAGGAAATCAAAGCCCAGGGTTTAACAACACATAGAGAAAATGAGAAAGAAAGCTGGATCTTGCTCCATTTCCAGTTCCTTTATTGAGCTGGCTATTGGCAACTAACTGTTACTTGTGCTTTGACTAACAGGTCCATTTGGTTAACAGGATCTTACATAATTATTAACCATTTGGTTAACAGGAAGCTCTTACATAATTATTTCTTTTTTTTTTCATTATTGCACAAAGGCAAACCAAATAAAAACCCTAGAGAAAAGTACTTCTTGAAATAGTTTTTGGAAAACTAATATTGCACCAAAAGGGAAATGCGCAAGATGAAACCTTCATCCACTTACTATGCCCCATAGATAGCATGGTACATTCAGACCAACCTTCCAGAGCCCTCACCCACAGAGAGGGGAAACGGGGTACCTGAAGTTTACTTAGGCCGTTTTCATACGTGAGTGAATCTTCCACCCTGAGAACTTTGGCTACTGATCATTTCATGAGGGCATAATGGGTTTGAAGAATGACGTGCCTCTGAAACATCATCTCCTTTCTGGCAGCCCATGCTGCTGAAAGACCACACCCTTACCAGCTCCCTACAAAATGAGATCTACAGAAGAACCCAGGGAAAATGGTCTTCCTACCCCAGCTGTGCCTGCATTCAAATAAGAAGGGACACTGCAGGCAACAGTTTAGCTGTCCCTGAATAAGCTGATTTAAAGCACGCCATCTGTTCTGCTAAAGACACATTTATGCAGGTTTATCTGTCATCTGGGAAATGATCCTCTTACTCATGCATTTGTTCATTCCATATTTTAATATGGATTTTCAAGAACACGATGACCACGCTTTGTGTACCCCCTGAAACAACAGATAAATATGAAAACAGACCTGTCAGATTTTAAGATTTCACATCCAACCTATCTATATATACTCCTACACACACCCACTCTGCTTATTATAGCAGTCACAATTTCACACCCAATGCGTATTTTTAAGAGACTCAGTAATGTAGCACATACTTTATTTATAACATTCATAATTTATTGAAAAGAGTTGATGATTTGAACATACATACCTCTACAATCTGGGAAGATCCAGGAGCTTTTACATTAAAAGCAAAATAAGTCCCTAAAACACTCATCCAGTTAAAGGCTGGTTCTGTGAGAAACGTTATATGTCATCTTAACGCTTGGAGCCAAAACACGTATTTCGCACTTTATGCACCACGTAAGACATATCTCTCCCCAAACAGTCACATTTCACTCTGTATGTTTCACATCTCCTTTAAATGTGTCTAATTTTTAATAAATGGTCTTCACCTTGCATACCCACATTCTGGGCCTCATAGGAACAATGGTGTTGGGGCATGTGCCGTGGAGGTGGAAGATGGATTCAAGATGTTTCAAGTATGCAAAATCATATGCAGATGTACAAATAGTATGTCCCAGTCAAAGAGCATTAAGAAAGCAATATATATACAGACACCTGAGAGTAGATGAGTGCAAATAAAATCCAACTTGTAATTAACATACCGTGCTGTGACACCTGTTGCCTTCCACGATAAGAAGTCTGGGAGATCAAAGAAATGTCCCGCCTTATCCCAGCAAGTCTCTCGCAAGTTCTGCCAAATTAAATATATATTAGAATCAACTATGGGTTTTTTTCTGGCCTTCTCCACTTTCAGTAATGTTTCCTAATTTTCAAAATAAAAGTACGGCCAACAGTTACCATTAAAACATCTGCTTAGGGACTGAGATGGGAGAATGATATATAAAAGTAGCACCTATGTAGCAAAGAAAACTTGGCACACAAGTATTGATCTTTCTAATAATGATGATAATTTCCCTTTTATCCTTCTTCGCCAACCAGGAGTAGGCGAAAATATACTCTAGGAGGGGTACGCAATCCATCTTCCTTGTGAAGAATCAGCAGATGTGCTTTAAAACACGTAATAAGATTCCAACACTCAGCAGGTGTGGACTGGGAAGAAATCAACACTGAAAAATACCTGATGAGACCGAAGGTGCCTATCATTTAAAAGTCTCTGCACACCAACTGCTTCTTAAGGCAATGGAAAAGATCGTTTCTGTCCTCCAAGACCTTCCAGACCAAGCCAAAGAAATTGGCCAGAGGATCAAGCCATTCCTACAAAGATTTTAAAAGATTTTATTTCTTTGAGTTTCTTCCACATGCCACATGGCCGCTCTTCTTCCTTTTCGTGGGTTTTCTCAAGTACGAAATTGAATTGAGTAAATCTGCTGGACAAGATTTCTTAAAAGTGTGGAAAAGCAAGGATTTGACTTTGAGGAATATGATGTACCTTGGCCAAGCCATGGTATTTTCAATCCCTCATATGCATGTGAGAGTTGGACAATGAATACGGAAGAGCGAACAAAAATTGATGCATTTGAATTATGTTGCTTGGAAGGACTATTTGAAAGAACAAACACATGGAAGTACAGACAGAATATGCCTCAGAAGCAAGGATGACTTCATCTCGTGTACTTTGGACATTTTATCAGAAGAGACCGGTCTCTGGGAAAAAAGCATCATGATTAGAAAAGGAAAGGGGCAGTGAAAGAGAGGACGGCCCTCAACGAGGTGCATGGACACGAGGCTGCAGCAATGGGCTCAGACATAACAATTGTGAGGACGGCGCAGGACTGGGCAGTTCTGATGTATGTAGGATCACGGCCAGTCAGAACCCATTAATGGCACCCAACCTCCACAAGAAGAGAAAATCCATTCCTCACCTGCCACTCTTTCCCTCTCGGGATCAACACCTCCCTCTTTGACTGCCCTCTTCCTCCCCCTCACCAGGGCATCTCCTGGGATCGCTTACTCGAGGTTGGGTCGGGTTCTCACATAATCCATATGCTTTGATTGGAGGCTGAAATTGTTTTTGTGACAGTTTTCTTTTCTTTTAACGATTAGTTTTATGAAGTCAAACATCTCATCAGCCTTGATTCTGTGCTCCTGTGTGATGACTGTTTGCTTTCTTCCTCCTACCATGTGAGTGGACCTTTGCCTGACACATGTTCAGGACCATCAAGTGACCCTTTTTGCAACAGAAGGTACCATGACTGGGCTCTTGAGTCATCTTCTTAATAGTGAGCCCATGTCTGGAGCCACTGTGTCAAGTACGTGCTATATAATTTCAGTCGGCCTTAATGTACTTGAATGCTTGACTGGGCCAGTGGCTGACGTGTGACTTACTCAAATCAATCAGATTTCTTCTCCCAGAAATTTAGAATTGGGAACCAAGAAAAGCCATTGAAATCCTTGATCATGAATGGAATTTTTGTTTGTGTTGCTGTTGTTGTTGTTAGATGCAATCTAGTTAGTTCCAACTTTTAGCGACCATAAGCACAACAAAGTGAAATGCTGCCCAGTTCTGTTGTATCCTTACGATTGTTCCTTCCGATGCTTCTGCCCATTTTTGCAGCCATGGGGTCCATCCAGCTCCTTAAGGGCCTTCCTCTTTTTTGCTGGCCCTGTATTTTACCAAGCATGATGTCCTTCTACACGGACTGGTCTTTCCTAACATGTACAAATAAAGTAAGAAAAAGTCTCACCATTCTTGCATCTAAGGAACATCACAGTCGTACTTCTTCCAATACATATTTTTTGTTCTTCTGGCTTAGAGCTTTCATACATACATTTTTTCTTCAGTCTGCCTTAATCACTGTCCAAATGTCACATACATATGAGGCAATTAAAAATACCATGGCTCCAGTCCGATGCACAATAATCCTCAAAGAAACCTGCTTGCTTTTCAATACTCTAAAGAGTTCCTGTGCAGCAGATTTATCCAAAGCAACATGTCATTTGATCTCTTGACTGCTGCTTATGAATGCAAGCAAGACGAAATCCTTGACAACTTCTATCTTTTCTCCCTTTATCATGATGTTACCTACTGGTCCAGTTGTGAAGATTTTGGTCTTCTCTACAATGAGCTGTAATCCATACTGAAGGCTGAAAACCTTTTATATTCATTAGCAAGTTCTTTAAATCCTCCTCATTTTGACCAAGCAAAATTTTGTCATCTCCATACCAAAGATTGTCAATAAACCTTCCTCCAATCATGATGACTCATCTTCTTCATCCGCTCCTCTAATGATTTACTTAGCATACATTGTGGGATTACAAAGTGACTTTCCCCCAGCTTTGTCTCCCCCAAAGACATGTCAAACATTGGAGGCTATTTGCCCGCATATGGTGGGAGGTCAGATGCTTAGAGACATCCTCCCTGAAGGCAGTCAGTTGCCAGACTACAGACTGGTCCCTCCACAGGTAGGGCCTGCTCCCTGCTGTTAAGGATAATGGGCTACTTCTCCCTAAAGGATGAGGCCATTAGCTGGGTTCCTGAGAGTGGTAATGGTTTCTATGGTGGGCCAGAGAACAGGTCAAACCAGTTCAGTGACATCTATTGTTAGGATGCCATCCTGAATCTAGAATCCGCCCTTCTTGTTCCATGTATACCCCAAATCCCTCCTCTTCCTATTGCGGGTCTATCCCTAGTTTGTCCTCCTCTCATTGCTGTATAACCTATAGGGCAACCCCTTCCTGTGACGCATGTCTTTACCTGTAATTAGTAGGCTTGCACACCCCCCAAAGATATATAGGCCTTGGTTAGCAACAAAGCTCTCTTGGGCAGTCCCCTCTTGGCCTCTCATCAGTTCCCCCTCTCCTCTCCAGTCCTTGCTCCCCTGTTCCCTTTCCCCTTGTCCTCCTTCCCCGCCCCCATCTCCACTTGGACCACCAAGCTGGGCTGAGGTAAGCATGCTACCATGAAATGTGTCTGACTCCATTATATCTATTTCTCTTCTACTTCTCATGCTCTCTAGGACTTTACTATAATCTTTATATATATTAACCACACATTTGTGCCTATCGAACCCACGATTAGTTGTGGGGGGCTGGCCTTCCCCCACAATACAAATTGAATATGTGTGGTGAGAAGATGTAACCCTCCTGCACATTTTTCCCTTGCAGTATTCCGTTGTTCAATTTGCATCACTGCTTCTAGATCCATGTACAAGTTATGCATGAGGCCTATGCAGTGTTCTGGAATGTCCATAAATCTCAAGGCTAGCCATAATTTATCATGATCTACTCAGTGAAATGCCTTTGCATAGTCAATAAAACACAATAAACATATTTCTGGTATTCTCTCCTTTCAGCCAAAATCCATATGACATCAACAATAATATCCCTTGGCCCATGTCATTTTTTTTTAAATCTAGCTTAAACCTCTGGTAACGTCAATGTACTACTGAAACTGGAATTGGATGGTCTTCAGCAAAATTTTACTTGCATATAATATGAATTATACTGTGCAATATTTTCAGCATTCTGTTGAGTCACCTTTCTTCGGAATGGGTACAAATATGGATCTACTCCAGTCCTCCAGTCAGTTGGCCGAGCAGTCTTTCAAATTCCCCGTCATAAATTTGTGAGTATTTCCAGTGCTTCACTGGCTTGTTGAAACATTCCAATTAATCTTCCACCAATTCCTGGAATTTTTTTTTTCTCATTAGAGCCATACAAAAACCCTGGCTGGTATTGGATCCATTTTACAGAAAGACAATTGAAGTGTTAGCCTTCATTTATTTCCCCTAAAATTCTGGAGTGCTTTCCATTTCTGAAACTGCTTCTGAGGCACTACTAAGTGAACCCAGATGAGTCTGTGCAGCAAGTAAGCTGAATAGTATCTCAGGTCAACGGTCCCATAAGCAGTAACAACAAACAGGCAAAGGGTTCAGATGTAAAAGGCAGAGTTTTAAGTCCATATCCAATTATTTTTTCTGTTAATTTTAAATTCCTAACCATTTGGCTTAAAACTTTTATCTAGAAAGGAACCTATCCTTCACTTTTCAATGCCCACAATTTCTCAACATTAAACAATGCAAAACATAGGCTTTATTAAGGACTAACATAGTTATCAACCAGTCTTACCTTCATACACTATCAATCAGAACACAATCAGAAAATGGCAGTCTTTGAAACTACTTGAGTCAAATCAGATGATCCAATAGGCCAGGTAGGTATGAATTAATTTGTGTTTACTCACTAATCTGTGGTGAACCATTGTGTGGGATACAGAAAGGTTTTTCCCCAGGTTGTCTCCTGCTTGCTCAGTCATGGTGTAGTCAGCTGCTTAGAGGTTTTCTCCCTGAGGTTATCAGCCATCCAGAGCAGATTACTGTCTGTCCCACCATTGGTGGAGCTCATACCCTGCTGATAAGGATAGTGGATTGCTTTCTTGAGGGAGAGCACAGAATAGGTCAAGCCAACTCAAGGAGGACCAAGGTTAGGTTGCCATCTTGAGTCTAGGATCCGCCCATTTTGTCACGTGTACCCCTAGTCCCTCCCCTTCCTATTACATTCCTAGCTCATTCCTTTGCTGTGATACATACGCCTATTGTACAGCCCCTTCCTGTGACGCATGTGGTTACCTGTAATCAGGGGGGCTTGCATGCCCCTAAGTACTTATAGGCCTTGGTCAGAAATAAAGGGGGTCTCTCTTCTTTCCTCCTCTCTTCTCCTACCTCCACATGGACCACCAAGAGGAGCTGAGGTGAGCATGCTACCATAAAATGTGTCTGACTCCTTTCTTCT